AATCTGAAAAGTTTCTTTCGAAGAAGGCTTAGTTCTGATCTCCTTACCCAATGGCATGAAGTGGGTGTATGTGTGAATGCTTTACATCTTAGCTCTCGGGTCTCAATAAGAATGGCAGATACTCCACCAAATCCATGTACAAATGGCTAGAGAAACCTCTTGCTGAATGTCACTTCAAGTGGATTTGGGGGGCCAGGTTACCAAAATTTAAATATTCATTTGGCAATTGTTGCAAGATGCGGTCTTAACTAGGCAAATGATGAGTCATGAGACAAAGAAAATGGCCCGGGAATCCTATGTGTTCATTTTGCAAGAATGTTGTAACTTGGTAGCATCTTTTTTTCGGTGTCCTATGCCAGGATTGTATTGCATGCTGTGGGTGTTGTTCTGGGGACAAATCTTTGCCCATTTGAGATTGTTTTTTCTGTCCGCACTTCACTTATCTACTGGGCATATCTTCAAAAGAAAGACGATATTGCAAAGGGCGGCTGGAGCTGAACATCTTAGCGATAACAGTCTGCTGATGAGAATTTTTGATGCTGCAAGTCAGGCGGTTGCAGGGGAACGAAGATTTTGTCACCAGTCGTTTTGATACTGGACTAGTTTGTATGTTGTGTCTTTTGAACTTCGTCCCTAAGGTGGTCTTTAGTTGTCTTCCTGATACTTTGAGCTTTTCGCCCGATCTACGTTGTGATACGTCTAGACTTGCTGGATCATGTTGACTAGGTTTCTGCCCCCATGGTGCACATTCGGATGACGAGTGTGTGCAATTGGTTTACGGGGTCCTAGCAAGTGCTCGAGCTCGCTTTTCCCTTCTTTCCCGTGTCCTGCTGAATTCAGGGTTGATGTATTTCCATTATATCTTTAATGGAAAGGGGGTAAGGCCGGTTCGGAAAAGAAAAGGCATCACAACAACGTGAATTGCAGGGCAGCCAACAAAGCGGCAGCTTCAGACGTGGGCAGTCTTTTCTCTCTCAGAAAAAGAAGACGAAGTCGGCAGTCTCGTATTCCAGATGTATCCCAAGCCTAGATAACGCCTTCGGAGCAATCACCGACTGCCTAGACCCCTGGGATGCACTAGCTGTTTCATGAACCTTAGCTTAGCTAGTTAGGACAAACGGTGTGAGCTCTCTCTGAGTATTGGTTGGTTGCCTTTTATACTATCAGTTCCAGCAAGCACATGGCGTACAGGCCATGCTTAATGCCTGTACAATGTCCTAACTCATGGCTTTTAGAAAACATGCAAAACTCCAGGTACTTTCACCCAAAAAGGCTCGCGCCGCGCTTTATAAATGAAGCACCGATCACCAGGTACTTTTACAAGTTCTTTGCCATGTGCAATGCCCTACTCAGGGTTTTTTCCACGACGAGTACTTTTCATTTTTTTCCAGTTTGAAGATTAGATTTACAAAGTATATAGTCACCACCGTTTTTTCCCTGGTTATACAGACACAGAGCTTGCTGGCTTGTAGCTCTCATTGCTAGCGCTGGAATGCCCTCCTATCTTTGCCATGACGGAGTGCAGCAGCAATGCAAATATAACTGGAAAAGTAGCATCCAGTTGCACAGAAACCACTATCAATGGTGCAAATGTACATCACTATGACACTATGTATCTCCACCCATATAATGTGCATTTCTTCCGGAAGAAGAATGGCATGTCTCTACTGTAGTAGTTAACAGTTGCTAAGCCCTAACTAGCAGAAACCAAAAAGAAACAGCTTCAAGGTGCTGCTCTAGTACAATATCTTGCTAATAGCATGCTATAGCACGATATAGCATATAGCGTACTTTGAGGCCCGTTCTATTTTGTCACAGCACGCTATTTTTTCATTGGTTACAATGTACAACCAGCCGAAGATCATAAACCTCAAAGGCCAAACATGTGACCCGTCAATTCCTTCAAAACTCTAAGTTGACATTACATCACCCTAACAACTAGCATAATTTTCTACCATCCCATTGCTGAAGTCAATGGCAAATATTTCCTAGTGAAATTGACCAAGTGAGTAACTGAACAGTACTAATGTGATAGAGCGCTTCGCCACGCATGGCCGCCCGTGTTTCTTAATTAGACGCCTTGTAGCAGTACCATAGAATTGTAACCTTTTATCCAAGTTGGAAAATCATGAGCGGGGTAGTATGGTTTCATTTTCCACATGCCACCGACGCCATGCATAGTCGGAGGAAACGCTCACAGGATAGCTAAATTCCAAATGCCTCCAAAGCCTGGTATCAAGCTAGAGATTATCAGCTAGAGGACCAAGCAGTGACCCAACATTTCACCACCCCATTCAATTGGTTTGCTGATTATTATCTCTACTCTCGTTCTTTGATCGGTATCCTCCCTTAGTCGATGTTTCCCTTTTATAGAAGAAGTGGCCCAAAATCGTTACTATCTCTTCAAGTCGCATTACTTGTATCTTCTCTCTTCAAAAGCAATAAGGTCTTATACCTAATTTGTTTCATCTTTCAAGTTTCAAACATGCCATGTGATTATCACATGTGATCTACTTGTACTTACTACATCAGCACTGCGTTGTTTCTGAAAGCAAGTATGGTGCTTGCTCTGTACATTTATCTCCCCCTCCCCCAAACACACACATTATTTTCTTACCATCTTATATCTTGCGTGAGTAAACAAGTAGGCAATCACTATGTTACTAAGAGACATCGGGTTAGGGCATCTCTATCAGATTCCCTAAAACTGAAATTCGAGGGGCAAAACTGATATTAGGACCAAAAAGAGCAAACTAGCAGATCCCCTAAACCCAAAAGTTTTCTTAATTTAGTTTTTGACCCCCTAAACTTGCCCCTCCCCCTTCTCTCAAATTAGTCAACGGCCGCTCGGCAGACTAAAGCTCCCGCGCTCTCCCGCTCACCTCGACGCTTCCCGCCCACCACGACACCGTCGTCGGGCGTCCCCTTCCCCCGACGACAGGCCGAATGGGTACCGTCCCCCCGCCGCACCCTTGGACACCGGCGCCGGAGACCACCGGCGGCCATGAATTCGGCGGTGCAACCACCGAAAAGGCGGCGGCAGGGGAGGAACCTCATCGGCAACAAAGCATCAAAGATGGTCGTCGACAGTCCCTTCGACGTGGCCATCATACCGACCGTGGTGAAGTAGACTGGCAAAAGGGACCGGCGGGCGACGAAAAAGGCGGCGGTCAACACGGCGGCACTGGCGAAGAAAACAAGAATGCGGCCGCCTGTTCGCTTCCCCCTCGACCTGCGCGGTTCCCATGAGTGCTACCCCACCTCTTGTTGCCACAGGCAACCCCTCCACCGCTGGTGGATGAGGACGAGATGGACTCAGACGCTGCTACATGCTCGAGTAAATGCCCGAATGGCAAAATAAAATCCTCTTTTCGTTTTATTGTTTGCATTTGATTAGTATAGTGATGCATTGTTCAATATTAATTGTTAAGTTCTTCCTTAACCTTTTGTAGTGAGCAAATGAACAATGATGCCCAAGCTTTCATGAATGAATTGAGTGGCATCCATGTAACTGGATGTTTAACCGTTGATTTCATGTTCAATATGGGCTGCCACACTATTTATATAGGCTCTCATTGATTTCAATTATGTAACACAACTCTTCTATTAAAT